TTGTCACCTGACTTATTTAACATTTATGGTGAACATGTCATGAGGATGGTTTAGATGGATCGCCGGTAGAGTAACAGTGGCTGGTAGGAAAATCTCCAATTTAAGATTTGCTAATAAATTTGGTTAAAAATCAATACAGATAAGACAAAAATAAGGGCGGTCGGCAGATTCCACATTATTCAACTGGTAACATGTTACAGGAATATCAGATAGTGAACAGTTTTTTCTATCTCGCAGCTAGTTTAACTAAAGATGGTAATTGTGAAGCAGAAATTCGGAGGCGTATTGGTATAGCAAAAAATGCGAAGAGTCGCCTAACTAAAGTTTGGAAAGACAGATCTATCTTTCAAAATATCAAGATGACACTGGTGAATGCACTTGTATTCTCAATATTTCTATACGCGACAGAGACTTGGACTCTTTACGGAGGCGAGCTCCAAAAAATTGATGCCTTTTGGATGTGGTGCTGGAGAAGAATTCTGCGCATACCTTGGACAGCTCATAGGACAAATGTTTCCATTCTAAACCAACTTGAGATGAAAAAGGCTGTCCACAATACGTCTGCAACGTATTCTACAATTTTTCAGAAAAGCATGTAATTAGGTGTACTTGATGTTATCACACCTAATTACATGTTAATTACAGTGTTTTTATTTTCCATTCTCTGTGCATATGAGTTGAAACATAACAGTAAAACATGCCATAAATAAAGTTTTACCACCCTAAATTTTAAAATGTATTTTGTCCATGATTTTATAGTTTTTATATTTTAATGTTGTGTTATAAATGTTGAGTGTAAGTTACACTGAAGAATTGTGGTATTTTTTAAATATTTACATATTTGTCTTATTACAGTGTCTTGAAAAAGGAATAAAACCATTCCGAAAGCTAGACAAAAGTCAAAAGAGTGTGTTTTTGAACATCCCGGCCAATATTCTGACTGCATCCCAAATAAACTGTGTTGTTTGTTTATATCGACATATAAAATCGTCTTCAACATCACGGTATTAAAAGTTCATGAAGGAAAAATTGTGCCTTTTATCTGGAACATAATTATTATTAGGCACAAAAGTTTAATACAAAATATTTCTGTTTTTGATATGATTCTGCATAAAATCTGATTTTTTAATTAAGTTAATACACCCACAAATTAGCAAGAAGTATTTAATGAAAAGGATCAAACGGTACGTTGACCTATGCTGATCTAAGCCAAGTTTAAATAATAAAATAAATTAAATAAGCAAATCAAATTAAAATATCTAACTATTTTATTTATACCAGAAGTAACCACTGCAACGCCCACAATTGCTAAGGCAATTCTGAAGATTGATGAAAACGAAATTATTAGTGCAAAAAAATTACAAACCATTTCTGATGAAAGAAAATGTAATTAAATCTGTATTTTTCTATAACAAGAAAACTAATTTCTTGTAGAAAGTATTAATAGTCTACAAACACTAGAAGTTTTTTGTTCTGAATTATGAATGTTCTTTGACAAACACTTTTTTAAAAAGCACAAAGAGTCAAAATAAACTGTTATTTGCACAAATAAAGATTTTGCTAATAATAATATTGCTGTTCTAGTTCTAGTACTTGCAATTATTGATGTTGCGAGTTTTCGGAATATGTGATGCTGAGAGGCGTTAACTTCTTATTAAATTCGTGTGATCAAATATACTGGATTCTAGCGGTTATTGTACTATAACTACTCCATCCTCTAAAGAAATTTTGTGAGGGACGAACTGCGCGGGACGAATTACGCGGAAGTAATTTGTTTCTGGTGACTGTTTTCAGGGTATAAGTTTTTCTGCTTGGTTTATACGTAATGGGTACTTTTTTGTTTCTGTTTTTGATTACTTTCTCTTGGTTTTCTTATATATGCCAGTTAACTTCCTTGTCTCACTGCTCTAAGAACGAAACCCATGGGTTCTCGTATCCCTGCTAGAAATGTTGTGAAACCTTGTTGACGGAAAAATTATTATTTGCTTTTTTTTACATCAGCATATACATTATTATATGTATTTATTAATACAGCTTAAAAGTCCATTTTTTCGTAAAAATGCATGATAAATTCCATTGAGCCTTGTCTCAAATTTATTAGGTCTCTACCTGTTAATTTACTTATTAATACTATGAAGCCAAAATTAATTATTTAATATTAGCTGCATTAAGTGTATCATAATAATGCTTTAGAAGTATTGTCGAAACTTTAATAAATTCATGTAGTTATTCCGGATTCTCATCAAAATTTAGAAGAATGCATAATTCATAATTTTTTTTTGTAAATTGTGGAACTGCCATATTTTCAAGATTATGTATATTTATATTTAACTTAAAACTGATGAGGATATTGAAAGGCTCTTCCACTATCCAACTGACTGCGCCAGTTATAAATGTTCTTTTAAAAATTCTATTTTAAAAAGCACAAACACTCAAAATAAACTTTTATTACTAGCAAAGATTTTAGTTACAATTTAAAATATAATATTCGACTTGCAAATATATCAGATTAATAATTAATATCAGACTTGCAGATATATCAGGTTAATATAAGGTCAGACTAATAAAGGTGGTTTTATAATGATTTGTTTATAATAATTAAGCTATAGTTTGTTAGAACAGTGAGCGACGCATAACTCGCAGTGATAACGGTTTGTTAGGTTCTGCTAAGCTACGCCACGCGCACTGCAGACCGATAGTCGTGTACGTTGATGGTGTGCGCTGGAATCAACTGCGATTTGATTTGTGGACGCAAACGTTCAGCTGAGCTCACAGCGTACACATAATATACCGAAATTATAATTGTATTTTTATATAGTTATTAATATTGTAATTATTAAGTGATGTCTACTAAATTTTCTCCCGATGAAGATGAAAGACTAGTGGATCTAGTACAAATTGCAGTTCCAAATAAATCCCTGGAAATTCTAAAATATTCTAGAAATTTTTTTCGTTTTGAAACAATCTTTCTTCGACTGTTAATTTAAAAACACTTTCTGTATTAAGACATGAAAAATTTCGTTTACATTTTTATTTCTTTTATTCAAATTTAACGTTATCAACTTTTCTTCTTCCTTCTCTTCTTGGAGTAATAAAATTATTGCATTAAGATTGCGCGAATTCAGTTTTTTAAATGTACAATCTTTGGGAGATTAAACGTGAAACCAATTTCTAAACTTGTTTTCAGAGCGACAGAATGTTTATGCAAAATAATTTACCACCCAAAACTGCCGTGAGTCGAGTACAGCAGATTCTGCTGTGCGCTGCGCACTGTTCCAACAAACCGCAGCTTTACACTTACTGAATTTGCTGTTCTAGTGCGTCGCAACTGATGTTGCAAGGTTCCGGAATATTCGGTGCTGATATGGGGTAACTTCTGATTAAATTCGCGTGGTCGAATATACTGGATTCTAGCGGTCATTGCACTGTAACTACTCCATTCCCTAAAGAAGGTTTGTGAGGGACAAACAAAACTTTTGCATTAGCTTCTTCTGGATTTTCGTTGCTAGAATGTGTTTCCTTATTATTGTTTTATCCATGTAACATCTTTAAAGGCAGATTATTGTAATAAAGATTTATACATGAATCATCCAAAAATAGTTGTAGTTATGGTTCCATTATTTTGGGTTAATTTTCTCTAGGTGCACTTCTTCGTTAGAGGTATCCTCAATGGTTTGAATTTTTTTGATGTTTAAATATCTATGGTAATAATTTTGAGAAGTATTAGCGGTTTCTATGGAATGTTTGTTCTTAAATTTATATAACTCTAGGTTGGGGTTTTAAATTCACATCTTGGCGAGAGATTAATAGGATAAGTTCCTTAAAGGCCCAAAATTTTTGTTGGAGAACATTGAGTTGTAATTTTAGTTGATTCTGGGAATTTTGCAATATAATGGGGTTCTGATAGTCTTTGGATAATGATATCTCGAGTTTTTAAGGAGTGTATTGGCAAGAAGCTTCTTTGGTATTCCGTTTTCGTTGCTAGTATGGTTACTTCTTTGCAAAGATATCTGGTGTCGATCCGGGTACATGGTTCTTTTAAATATTGAACGGATTTTTCATTTATGAGGGGATATGTCTCAGGAGGGATAATCGTAGTAGAATTTGCGGTAGGTATCGGAAATAAATGATAATAAGTAAAGGAATAAGAGCGTAGGACTGAAAAATAGAGAATAAATATATAGGTATGATTTAAATAATAGACATCTACTTTAATGATGTAGTATTTTAGGATGTCTTCGTCTTTGATATACACAATATGGTCTGCCTTATGGAGTTATGGTGGTAGGATAACGTTTTATTCATTATCCATTTAATTTATCGACTATTGATCACACTGTTGTGGGGAGTATTTATGTTATTATATTATTTACTTCTACAGTTATTATTTCTTCGTTGTATTAAGTTTTCTTAATTTGTCTGTAAGGTTTCTATAGCGTTGTTGTATTTTTCTGCATACTCTTAGTATACTCTTACTCTGCATACTACGGGTAAATTGTTGAGAATTTTTCTTGAGCTGATTTTAATTGATATCTTAGTGCTAGGTCAAATTTTTGTAAACAGCTTAAATATATATAGCTGAGTCCATTTTGAATTGCTGTAGTAACTGCGTTGTACGTGCTTTAATTCTGTCTAGTTCTTGTCTGTCTAGAAGTGTATAAAATCTTGTATGCTAGTGTGAAAATTTGCTTGTCCAGGTTGAGGGGAATTATTCCTGGGTTGTCTTTTAGGTGCTTTTCTCGGGCAGGTACGGTATGAATATTTCATTAAAGCCACAACAAAAAAAAATAGAGCAATTAAAGTATCTTCCCTTCTACGCACTGTTGATGTCATAGACGAGCACACAAAAAGACCAAATGCAACAGTGACTTGTAAATGAGAACATTCAGGCAACACATTGGGGGTGGTATTTTTTTGCGATGCACTTTTGAAAATAATTTTTTGCCAAAGCAAAAAAGCTGCAGGAGATTGGGGTTATACTACAATCTTCCTTCCTATAGGTGCTCGGAGAAAGATTGCAGCAATAGTCCACCAGTTATAGAAGTAGACGAAGAAGACATCGATGAAGATGACTAAAAAACTATTTGTTTTTGTACGTAAATTCTACTTTTTTCTGTATAGACCCATTAAATTACTTATAAAAATTACCATATTAAGGTTTACAATGTTTTTATATAATTTTTGACAATAAGGGGTAGTTTAACCCCTAAAAATAATCATCGGCCTTGGACATAATATAGAAAATGAAGTACAAGTTGGAATGATACCAAATTTTTGTGCAACCTATGCAAGCCGAAATTATTCTTTTGGGACAATAAATTTCATCATATATAGCTCCAAGAAGGGTTTAAATATTACGACATTATATCCCAAAGTATAAAACAATCTTGTTTAACTAATAAAAACCAAATATCGACCATATTTTAAATGTTATTTTATAATTTTTTACAACTTGGGGTAGTTTACCCGCTTAAAAAACCAAAAGCGTACAACATCTCAATATAGAAAATAAACTAGATGGTGAAATTAGTCTAATCCCAAATTTTTAGTACAAACCTATGCTTTACGAAAAATTGCGACGTTTTGCCATTTTTTCAGCTTAATTTCTTGGCCTATACTTGAAATTTTAATAATGAAAAAAATTTTATAATCTAAAATTTAATTATTTGTATGATTGTTGTTGTTTTTAAAATATTGAATGTAAGTAGCTAGTTTGTTTAAAATATTTTACATAAAATAGCATTTTAAAAAAGGTAGGTACTGTTTAATCCACTTCTCCTCCTTTATAAAATGGTCATTGTCAAAAAACGTTAAATAAGAAATTCTTACGTCAAAAAAAAACACGATAACGTCCTGCCACTAAAGTATGCCGACAGGATTTACACCTCTCGTTTTGTTCTCATTAAGCTTTTTTTATTTTCTACAAAATCGCTGCATAAACAATCGTCGAAACCCACCTGAGCGTTGAATTCACTTGCTCTCTGCTTAACTACTGTTTTAGTTCTTCAGTCGTACGTCTCCAGACCATGAAATATAAACGTTAACCTATAAAATTATGCTAATTTTTCATCGTCAACAATAACAGGACAGGATGGGTGGGAATCTTGATTGCCAAATAAAGAGCGTGAAATACCTTGAACCGTAAAGTCTGAGGAAGTCAATCCCTTGCCCTCACAATAGAGAAAACCTTTTTGTCCCTGATTGTGTGCAGCAGCGTAGAAATAGATGTTAATTGGAAAAAATTGTGAATAATTGTACGTTATGTCTGCTTAAATATACACTTGTATAAAATATTAGCATAAGCCTGAAATAATTCTTAAAAAAAAATTAAATAATACGGTTCGAATAAAGTAATGAAACAGAACGATCTTTAATTAAAATTCATATGAATTTTACAAATTAAATACTGCATATATTTTTACAACATACATATATTACCTAAGAAACAATCACATATTGCTCAACGGAGAAAGACTGTTATACAGACCATAAGTATCCTATTTGACAGTTTGAAAAAGTATTATATATTATTAAGGGATAATAATATAAGGGACAATTATCGCTCATAACCAGCAAACATCGACTGCTTTGTTAAGTGATACAACGCATGGAAACTAACATATCACTATTTCGCTCATATCCAAGCACACCTCGACTGCATCGTCAAATAATACAACAGATAGAGAGTAACATTAAATCAAACAAAAATGCAAATTATTTTACTCAGACATTCCAATTGCTATTGAATACATTTCGAGGAAAACAATCACATAATGATCAAAGGAGAAAGACTCCTATTCAGACAGTCGAATTTTTAAAAACATTTATTGGAACACTGGATTAAAAACCTTAAAAACAGGCTAACCTCCTGGGAGCATTGTCTAGTAATTTTTTAATGCTAATAATGTACTCTCCTACACTCATACACAAACTTTATCAGATTATTGCCGTATACAGAGCGATACTCTACTCCTTAATCAACAAAAGGCAACTAAACTAACTCAATAACAACGGAGAAGAAACCCTTAAGAAGAATTGTGGACATATATTGTGATTATCCATCAGTATTAATCAACTAAGTAGCTAAAAATTCCTACAATCTAAAACTTGGTAGATCGAAAACCTTGGTAAAAGGTACGTTTTGAGAACACTCGAAAGCTTGAACACACAACCCATACTCTTCATATGACCTCAATCCAGACTTTTGCAAAAATGATAGAAACCACATGAAGAGACAATATCATAAACTAGACTGTCATAACTTATTTTGACAAGAAAGAAAGCCATGAAACATTAGAACTGTGGCATCTTATTGTCATCCTCGAGAAGACTAAAAGGAGAAAGCTATACAAACATCTTGACGGATCAAGGTGAAATATTTATTATTTTAAAAGCCTCCTGAAAGCAATAAAATGGTTAAAATGCGATGTTGTGTAAAGGAAAATCCACCAAATTGCCAACTCTCCCAAGCAAGATACTTGATTTATTTAACTTATATGTAGCGAAAGGTAAAAATCTTAACTATATACACGTGGAAGTATCCTAGGATATGAATACAGATCATTGTCCTATTCTTCTAACCATCAGTGACTATATAATATTAAACAGATTGGATTAGCTTCTTTTTACAAGTAGAGAGGACAAACTGACCTCCGGTTCAGTAAAAAAACAGTAAAAAAATCGGATTACGCTATATAAAAAAAAATAGTAAAATAACATTCAACAAGCAGTTTGGAATAGTACATCAACTATTTCCCACATAACTATAGGCAAAAATATCCAAAAGAGATCAGGAATATGACATCCAAAAAAAAAATAAAACTATTTTAAAGAATGTCACTCAAAAAGCTAAAGAAAATAAATAAGCGTATTCAATAAAATCCATTAAAAAGTGTCTCGGTGAATTATTAGCTAAGAAAACGACTAATTACGTTCTTCCCGTGGAAAGCAACTAATCAGCTCAAAAGGAAAATTATGCGGAATTTTCTTGTTAGGAATAAAGTCACCTAGATACGCACTAAACACCAAAAACAACAAGTTGGCAGGTCATCTAGAAAATCATTTACCAAAAAAAAAAAACACTATAAAATTAACACTTTTTAGTGCCTCATATGGACTGAAAGCTATTCCCAAGTTGCGGCAAGTTGCTTAAGTGTTTTTTTCACCCAAATCTGGCAAACTATCTCACAACGTATTGTCATAAAGACCTAAGTCACTCTTTCCTGTGATTTCAAAACTTTCTGAGAAACTGTAACTAAAAGAGAAGACAAAAATTAAAGAAAGAAATTCAATTTCCATCAGACCAACTTGGATATAGAGAAAGTCATTCTTATTTTTGACCAAGTGTACAGAATTACTATCATCATAGAAATGGTACTGGCAGAAAAATTTGCACCACCACATTCCTGGATTTGACTCTAGCTTTCAACAAGATATTGTTAATGGGTTAATGAAGTACGCCTTTACTTACCAGAATAGTAGTCTCTACTCCTAGAATCGTACATATTAGACAAATGCTTCAAGCAGGAAGAAGTGCACTCTGATATGTATTATGTATTATATAGCAGAGACACCACTGAACTAAATCAAGGTTACTATTTTCACATTTTGCTGATGACATGGTAATTATTTGAGTAGTCAGTAATCATGGAAAAATACTGGATAACTGGAATTTCTTAAATCAGATCAGTAATTGGAATAAAACATAGATAATCAAACTGAACTAAACCAAATCTATTCAAATTGATTTCATTAATAAAAGAAAACAATATGTTGCAGTGCGAATAAATGGGATCTAAGGTCCCACGAGAATATTCCAAAATATCTAGGCATCACTCTTGATGCTAGAGAAAGACTTAGGTGGAGCAGGACCTGTTAAAAAAAGGACGAGAGCTTGAATTAAATATAAAAAAAATATTGGATGTTTGGACTTCAAATTACCTACTAAAAAACCAGATGCTTTTCTACAATGTTTATGGCATGGTTATGGTTATGGCATATACTATAGGCTGTGCCAACAAAAGTTTTTTGCTTATTTAAAATGCTTAGCATCTGTATATGTTACATAACATAACATATTATATCTTTATATATTACTAAACACTTTTGACCATTTAAGAGTTTTTCTAGTAATCTTTATTTCTATGAAAAATTGATGTATTTAAGTCCTCCACTGTCTTCTATCCTTGATTTGCTCTTCAGTCTCTGATTCCCATAGATCCTATGGGAATCCTAGATTTTGATTTTAAATAATTACCTTAACTGTACCACTTTTAATTCTCTTTTGTCAATATAAATTTTAGTTTGTTTTTATGTGCCAGCTCTTGCTACATTACTGATATGTAAAATTTCGAACTCTTACAAATTCATACCACCTAACGCTTATAACCTTAGTGTATCTTCTTTAGAAGAATTATTCGGACTTTAGTCAAAAAAAAATAGAGGTATGTCTTTATATGTGCTTATAAAGAAACAAATCATGCTGACCGTTATGATTTGTTTCTTTGATTCTAATTTTACTATCTCTGCGCATATACGGATTTGACCAGACTATCTCCCGCAGACATCCTGACAATGCGGACGCTTTGTTGATCTGACTTCTTAGGTCCTTTACTGGGTCGATGTGTGCTTGATATATCTATGCCCAGATATCTGAATTGCATCACCTGTTCTATGGGGTTGTTCTCAACCACTAACTTACATCTGAGCAGATCTTTTGCTATTGTCATACATTTAGTTTTGTTGGTAGAAATGGTCATATTTAGTTGGCGGCTTACTTGAAAGAACTGAAAGAGCTGTCTTTGAAGATCATCTTCTGATTTGGCAATAATTGCTGCAACATCTGCGTAACACACCATACCAATTCTTTTGTTGCCCATTCTGTATCCGAGATTGAGAGAGGTTATTTTGTTTATAATTTTGCCCATGAGTAGGTTAAACAAAAAGGGGCTTAAACTGTCGCCTTATCTAATTCCTCCCGCGTGTTGGAATATTTTCAGTGAATTGGTCTCTGCTCTTACATTGTGTTATTTAGGTTATGGACTATCTTTGTTATATTGGTCGGTGTTTAATTTTAT